TATAAGCTCCTCACAAAGCACACATACCCACCCACAAATCCCACATCCCCCCACACACCCACCCACAAACCCCAAACCTCCCCCTTACCCCCCCCCACCCCCCCCACCCACCCCCCCCCCACCCCCCCCCGCCTTCTCCCTCCATCGGCTCCAAGTGATGAACCCCACACTCCCCCAAACCCCTTCTTACTCCCCTCCTGCAAACCCCATATCCCCCCCACATCTCACACTCTGCATGGCCAGCCTCCAGACAGGGAGCAAGGGGCAGGCATAGAGACACTGGCTGGCTACCAGAGCATCTCTTTGGAGAACTCCAGTTGCCTCAGGGCACAGTTCTGGACCATGCCCTGCTCCACTTTTCTTTTAGGGGGTTGATACCTGCATTTCCAGGTATCAAATTTTGAGCCCATGCTGCAAATATACAGCATAGGGAACATTTTTTTATTCCCAGTGTGCCTCTTGCAGGATCTCAAACTGCTTTGAGACACGGCAAGAGGCACATGTGGGCTCATCTGGACGCACCTGATGATTTCAGAATCAGGCAGAAGGCAGGGTAGATACATCCCTTATAAACTACTTAAATAAGACATATTCAGAATCAGGGCAATAAGTGTTGGCTGAATAGAGTTATTCTGGACTTACACTACTGTATCCATGAGAATACATCTCCCATTGTGCACTTAAGAATGATTCATATCACTGCCGAATAGTCTATGGTTTTCTTTTTGGCAGCCCTAAGAATGGTATACCAATATGACTCATGAGATCAGAATGTATTTCAGTGCCTGTGCACTGACCATTTTAGGGGGGAAATTTACTGTGTCAAATTAGCATCCAGACTAGAGAAAGTAACCAAGAGTAACCACGAGCATTTACAGATGCCAGGATAAATCAAGGATGAATTTCTTCCTGGAAACCCTTTTTTGTTTTCCAGGTTTCCAGTCCATTTCCATCTGGTGTACTCTAAATTAAGCACAAACATATTCCACATGTGAATTTGTTAACACACCATACTGTCCTTGCAATGTCCAGACAATGAGAACTTTTTATCAATAATTATACTTGTTGCTTAATAAATCATTGCAACTCAATTTTCTATGAAGCTTCCTATGGGGAGCTTTGCAATTACTGCCCTGATTAACTAACTGGTCTAAGTTCTACTTTTTTCAGTTAAGTGTGAGAGAGAGTGAGAGAGAGATAGAACAGGTGAGAAATTATTTGCACATTGATTTTAAAATCATAATATGCATCACCGCCATAAAACTGTTTTGAATCAAGAGATTTATTATAGATTTTAAATGTTTTTTAGATTAGATAAGCGAACATGCTGTTTGCAAGATAAGAGAAAGAGACTGAGAGAGAAAGCATTAGATAAAAATGGTAAAATAAACAGATGTTTTTGTCCCGCCCATTCCCTCATGCATACTGAGGTGCTAAGACCTTCAGTATAGTATTATAGATGCAAATTCACCAACACCATATCAATAGATTATAATATCACTCATCCATTATATGGTAAGCCTGTATAAGTAGTACAAAAGTACATTAATCTTTTGGTTGCCATATCTCAATTTCCTTGTGATCATATAGAGATCTTCCTTAGCATTATTATTTTCCATATACCTCCCTTTACTGAATGGCTATGTTTTAGATAATTATTTTCCAGATGTATTTTTTCATTCTTTGTGGATGAATCTGACTTTATTTCTTGTCCAGGCTTCTGACCTCTTGAGAACCATTTGTATTTTTGTCCTAGGTTGTGTTCACAGTGCATCCCAGTTGAGTCATCTGCATTCAGTTAATTCATTTTTTATCCTTTTATGTCATGAATAATGTTAAACAAAACCACAGCTAACATCAATTATTGTAGCACTATCCTGGACCTATTGCCCTTTCTCTGTACATTATCTGATATCAATACCTTTTATTTATCATAAGTCTACACGTCAGCCTCCATATTAATGATCTCACGTACTTCCTTTCATTCACTGATTTCTTGCCTTGGATTGTTCTTCATTTCATTTTTATAAGAATAAACTATATTAGAAAAATAGATGGACAATGTTATGATATTATTCTTATTGTGTTGATGCGTTCTGGACCATATTCCAATAATACCCAGATTTCACAAAAATGTGACTCTGGTGGTACTTTGTTGCATTAATATTCTGCCAAATTATTACTAACCATTTTGAAAATTGTATTAACAATTCTGAATATTAATTTCTTGGCTCAGGCACATTACCCTGCTATAGACAGTTGCCTCATAACTACACATGTAAGAACCTTTGTAAATGAAGTGAACAAATTGCATCTATTTTTCCCTTGAAAATTGGAGATAAATTAACTATATCATGGGTGTCAACATGGAAAGACATGCTGAGACACAAACACTGAGCTGAACTGGGAAACCTTATAAATACGTTGCCATTTATGTGCTACATTAATCTATTTAAATAACCACAAGTCTATCAGTTATCCTTCTTAGAAAATTTCATGCATCACAAGAGCTCAGGGTTGGTGTACTACTAAGAAATATGCCATAAATAGTTGTATTTGCTGTAGTAATGGTAAATGTCAAAGGTAGACTACATCATGTGTGTTAAAATAACAAATCCCCCCATGTCAGTACTACTCTGAAATAGCAACAACGTCAAGAATACGACAACTAGCTCGTCAAGGCTTTAAATCAAATTATAGCAGTATGGAAAAGGTTACAAGTCAAGCACAGGTACTATTTTTTCCTTTAAATGTGCAGTGAAAATGATTATGCAAAGTGAGCTTTTAATGTTAAGCCTTTTTGTATAACAGCTTCTACATTAAGCCTCATATTCACTAAAAATGAGTTCCCCCTTGACAATTTTTAAGCAAACTGATATTCAAATTTTAATCAGCATATTGGATTGCTGGGAACATCTAAATTGGTGTCTAAGATCATTTTTAGATACAACTTGTTGTGATAGATTTGTATTTAAATGTGGAACTGTATTATTAAGGACTTTTTAAAAATGCAGAAATGAAGGAAAAAAGTGGTCATTCTGTAAAAGAAACAGGTGGCTCACTGTGGCATAATGAAACTATACTCATCTAAAACATTTGAGTGATTTTAATTTATAGATCTCAATAAAAAACAGTATATAAGCGATCACTTTTTCTAAGTTTTTTAAAACAATTAACACAAATGTACAGATACAAAAGTGAATGTTAATAACATTACTTTTAAGTTATCAAATAATTTAAAGAAAAATGCAAAAGATCAACCATATCACATCTGAAATGAAGGATGACCTGTGATCTCACCCTGTAGGCAACATGATTCATTGTAGAGAAGCAGGTATACAACACCAAATTCAGCAAAATTAGCAAGCCAGTTTACATGCACTTAGTGAATCTTCATAAAAATAGGGATATGAAATTATTACACAGCTAAGAAAACCTTAACTGCTGTGAAACTAGAAGACACTGCATGCATCTCTAAAGCCAGTCTAAAAGAAATATTAAGATTTGCGCTCTTTTCTTATGCAAAGGAATAGCAAATGAATCCTAGCAAATCTCCTATAACAAATGGTGTAATATTCAAAGAGCTTGAGAGTCATGGAAAATAAAAGGTCATAAGGCAGGGGTGGGCAAAATGCGGCCCATGGGCCAGATGCGGCCTACCAGGCCCACGGGACTCCTAAAAATTTAGAAAATAAATATTAATCTGCCCTGGGCTGCCTGTCATCCGGCCCTCGATGGCTTGCCAAAACTCAATAAGCAGCCCTCCACCCAAAATAATTGCCCATCCCTGTCATAAGGTCATAAATCAGAAGCAGAATAACAAGCTAATACTCAACCCTTCCAAATACTGATCTCTCATACATAAAATTGATATTCTGTATATAACAGCAACACCACAACGACTCTTGGTCATACAAACAGCATATTCAACTACTACTGCAAAAATATTTGGTCTACTGTACTGTGTAGCTGCCTCATAAAACCTAAAAAATGGTAAGAGTAACTAGGATACTCAAGTGTTTAATATTAGTAGATGGCCCAGGATTTTTACTGAAAATAATATTAAAATATTTATATTTTATATTAACATAACTAACTAACATTTAGAACATTCTGTGTCATACAGAAACAGTAATATTATAGGTCAGAAGGAGGGTTGGGAGCCCTTTGAGTTCACAACTGTCTAATTTGAGAGTGACTGAAGCAATTAATCTACAAGAGTGATTTTCAGCCAGGGAGCTGTGATAAACCCAGAGATTTTAAATAGGAATCTATAATGTCAAAAACAGTCTGACCTGCTGTTGTCTTTCTGAGCTCTTTGCAACAGAAGAATTGCTTTATTATTTTTCCACCACCCCAGTCCTGTTTGTTTTACTGCAAGTACTAAGCTAAATCCTAAAGCTTGATTTATGTTATCTTTACACAGGTAAAAGCCTATTCGCTATTGTTAAGCTACTCTGTTTTCTATTCACAAAACATCTACAAACATGTTTCTGTGTGCATGCGTGTGTGTGCATGTGCATGTGTCTGAAAGAATAATAAGCTTGTGTATGGCACAAAGATATCAGGACATTCTCCATGTTAATGTCATTGGAAGCACTTAGAACATTTAATAGAGCATTTGAAAATGAGAGTCTATACTTGCACCTACTTATACACTATTACTCTGTTGCATATAGCCTAAGAATTGATTGGTTAATTTAAAATGATAAAGTGATTCCCTTAGGATTTATGAGCTAAAAGTGCTCAGGGGTTTAGTGTCTTGACATCTCTTTAATTAGCAGTCTCCAAGATCCCACACTAAGAAGACACTAAGCCAGTGCCTTCTGTCATATCTCAAAGGTTTCAGAGACTTGGAAGCTACAGAGCAAGAGTGCAGTACTATCCATATGAGAGATACAGTATGTGCAGCGTGTCATTTTCCTGCTAACACCAAATTAGGACTCTTTGTTTCTAGGGTGATGCAATTTTAAAAAGCCACAAGAAAGATCCATACAAAAATGGGAGAGATAAGTAAGGATGATGTTGAGAAATACTTAGAGAACAACCCCCAGTTTGCCAAGGAATACTTCGACCGAAAGATAAGGGCAGAAGTGCTGGGAAGCATCTTTAAAGTCAGCCCTGGGAAACTGAAAGCTGGAGTTTCTTTCAAAGAGATGTCTCAACTGGAGGAGTCTCAATTGCTCTTTGAGCTGCTAACTGAAATCCAGGATGACACAAACAGCATGGAGAAAATTGTGCACAAAGCCCTGCAGAGGCTGGCACAGCTGCTGGCAGCTGATCGGTGTAGCATGTTTATCTGCCGCGCCCGCAATGGCATCCCTGAACTGTCTACAAGGCTTTTCAATGTTACCCCTACCTCTAAGTTTGAGGAGAACCTAGTGGTCCCAGACAGAGAGATTGTTTTTCCTCTGGACATTGGGATAGTGGGATGGGTTGCTCATACCAAGAAGTTTTTCAATGTACCTGATGTGCAAAAGGTAAGTGAGTAATAATTGAGACTTGTTCTGGGGACTGGGACTCTGTCCATTCCTATGTGGATTTTCCTGTATAAACTTATGGCACAGCATGAAGTAGTTCTGAAACAGAGTTGTGCTTCAAAGTACCAAACCCCAAACAAAGGACAGAAACCCTGGACCAGGATATGAAGTTTAAAAGCAGGTGGGCTCACTTTATCTAGTATGATTTGTTACTTCAAATATCCTGATGCAACTTTCACAATGTACTTACTGCATTATGAGGAGGAAAACATCAGATAAGTATGGTGCTGATGCAAAACCAGGCCCATAATGAACAAAGCAGGATCCAGCTCTGTTGTCCTAGGCCTTCTGGCAAGGGTTCTCCCTTATCATCCCATAGTCATCTTTACAGGAGATTCCCAAATTGATCTCTAGGATTTTATTGCTACAGGGCAATGCTTGTCTGACATCAGACAAGAAGCAGAAGAACTCCCTGTAAGGAGGTAAATGAGCTGAAAATAAAAATGGGTTTAGGACACGGTATTCAGATCCATAAGTGGATCTAGGATTTTGAAAGGGGGTGGGAGGGTGCAGATGGTGTGGTGCATCATTACATATACATGTAACACAACACACATTTCTCCAGGTAAAAATAAACTAGAGGCACTACTAATATACTAGAGGCCTAGGGCTATATTATTCAGTTTACAATCAAAGCAAAAAAAATATAACTTTATTGGCATGTGCATTAATTAGCAACATCATATGTATTGCAAAGCACAAGGAACTAGGCAAAAATAATCAAAAGTTGTTGTTTCTCTAGTCCTGTCATCATTAGAATTAAATGTACATTTATTTCAGGGTCATAAACCAAAATCAAGCCTTCTTGAGTATCTTGATGGTGTATCCAATGCTCAACTGAAAATTATTTCCATGCCTGAGTTAATGTTTTTAGCTAGAGTTAAAAATAGTCTGCAGGGTTGTGAAATAAGAGCTATATTACCTGGAGCCACTAACAGACAGCAGAATTGTAAAACAAAGAATTTCTTCATTAATGGAACATTAAGACCGTTAAAAAAGGAAAGAGGGTCATGAACACCTGTGGAATGATGAGTTTAGAAGGAACCAGGCAGATTATAATGAGCCACTAAGTCAAGCAACTCCCTCATTGCTACCCGAATAAAAATGTTACTGTCATTGCTGGGCGGTTTAGTTTAAACTTTGAGTGGACCAGGAATCAAAGGGGAAAGGGAGTACAACTTCACCACTGCACCCACCCCCATCCACCCCTGTTCAGATCCAGATTCAATACCCTCAAACCTCCAGACTGAGATTCAGAGTGTTGATTCAGATGCATCTCTGAGACGTGACCAGTTTTCAAAGCACCTGAACTACTTTCACAAACTCATCTTTTAAAGTTTTGCAGAGCTTCTATCCCCAGTACGTAATTAATTAGTTATAAATATAATTACATTATCCATTAAAATAGCAAGTTAGAATTCTTGTAACTAGCATGACTCCAGTTCCAAAGGTGTGAATGAGGACATTTTTAGAATGCTTGCTTTGAGGAAACTGAGAACTATTCAGCATTTGACTAACTGCTAAGATGCTTTCTTCAGCTGCTGTCTTTGTGACAAAGTGCATCTGACTTACTGCCTCTTACTACCAAATGGAAAGATTGGGGATAATCCTTCTAAATTCATAAGACTGATTACATGAGAAAAGATCAAGAGGATCAAGAAAGATGTGCACTTCTTCAGACAATGCCACCATTCATTTAATAATATTATGAGTGAAGGCCAACTGGCAGAGAACTGCCCATTGAATTCTGTTGTTGCAATAGACTAAATTTATTCAATGTCTAAAAAAATTGTGGCAAGTTAAAAACAATGTGAATTTGTTTAATTAAAAGGACTCTGACCTTTTTGCACCAGTAATGGTGCCATGTGTCTTTTGTACATGCATAAGAAATAAAATCTGCTAAATACCTATCCAATGATGATCAAGGCGTCTCTCAAGGAACTTAATATAATTAATTAATCATTGTATGTCTACTTATACATGAATTTATTAGAATAATAGAAGTCTATCCCAATAGATGCAGTGCATAAAACTTTAGGTCTAAATCCAGGTGTTATTGAAGTCAATTGCAAAGTTCTCATTAAAACCCCAATGTTCAAGATTTTAAGTCTTTAAAATAACCATGCACTTCTAAAAATTGTTGGTATTTTCTTTCTCTTAGAAAAATAGTTAGGAGTCCATATCCATGCTTCTTACTCAGGCGAAACTCCAACTGATGTCAGTGGGAGGTTATCCTTATCAAGGATTGTGGGATTGAGTCTTCAACATGTATTAGGTGATGGGTTATTTATATTAGTGAAATAAACATGCCTGCTGTTCTACCAGAATTCTTATAACATTCTTAAAAAGGGAGCAGTTCTCATTCAAAATATATTGTGTGCGCTTCATGGCACCATAAATACATTTATCCTTAAGTGCTAAGCAAAACAATTCTGAAGCTAGGGACTTCAAAAAACAGAGCAAAGTAATTAAAATGTATAAATTGATATAATTCATTAACTGCATTGGCATAAAATCTAGCAGTCATGTTTTCTGGGGTATGCATATCTTGATTCATGACTCTGCCCACTCTGTACTTCTGGATTGCTTGAACTTTTGTTAAATTATATTTTCCCACTATAAATAATTGGCAACACATTTGTGGAAAAGTATTGGATTTCTACTTTATATGTAAGTTTATTAATGGTAAATCATTTATACCTATAAACAGTTTAGTTTCCTTTAATCAGTACTTCTAAGGAGAAATATGTATTAATGGAATCATTCCATTCTGTGGACATAACCATGGAAAGCAATGAACGGACATTTTCTTCTATTGCTCATTTATGAGTACTTATTTTGTGACTTACTAGGCAATGAACAAGAACTGAAACTGGTCAGCACTTGAGAATCCCTCTCTTAAGCACTTACCTGTGTATCACTGTTCAAGAGAAAGGGGCTGACATCATTCCTAGAATAACTTTATTAGACTTAATGAAGTTACACCAGCAATGAATTTGGCCCACATTATCTGTTAAAAGTACAAACTCAACAACTAATAAATCAAGGCTGCCACATACCTTCAGTATATTATATCTAACAGATTCCAGTGATCTCACAAATCATGCATCAAGAGCAGAATATTTTTAAAATGTCATGTGATCACTACAAGAAATCACCAATATTTTAAAAGTACATTGCACTAGCCAGTGCTATATAAAATGGAAACCAAAAAACATAGGGTAATACATGATTTCCTGGCCATCACAGAATGAATGGAGTCCATTAAGACAGTATTTCCAGTTCAGTAGTAACACAAGGCTGGATTCTATCTCCTGCAGTAGATAAGGAATAATCCCACTGACACTGGCTATTTGTGGAGTAATTTATGTTTCAGCCTGACAAAGGGATACCAAATCATTCCCCAAGGTTTAGATTCTTCTCCAAGACATGGTTTTCCCTTGTTTTTGTTTTTAACCTTTCTTTCAAGGTGGGGATGACTAAAATAGCAAATGACAATATTCAAATAGGGAAA